TATGGACAAAAAAATGAAATAACGTATTCAAACCATAAAAATTAAAACATATATTTGGTGTTTTGAGATGCGGCTTATGATCTTGATCTCCTTTTATTTTTATGAATTTCTAGGTATTGAAGGGCCTGCTTTCATAGCTCGCGACATTACCTTCGTCAACACCGCGGGCCCCCGGATGGGCCAAGCCGTTGCGCTCCGGTCATCGTCCGATCTATCGGTGTTCCACCGGTGCGGCTTTCAGGGCTACCAAGACACTCTAATGGTGCTCTCACAGAGACAATTCTACAAGCAATGTTATGTGTACGGAACAATTGACTTCATTTTTGGGAACGCAGCAGTTGTTTTACAAAACTGCATGATTTACGTACGAAGGCCCTTAAAGGGCCAGGTCAACGTCATCACGGCCCAAGGCCGAGAGGACCCGTATCAAAACAGCGGAATCTCGATCCACAATTCTCAAATACGGGCCGCTCCGGATTTGAGGCCCGTTATTGGGTCGGTCAAAACTTACTTGGGCCGGCCCTGGAAGAAGTATTCGCGGACCGTGATCATGAGGAGCTATATTGACAGCCTGGTGAGCCCAATGGGCTGGCTCGCGTGGCAAAGTAGTAAATTTGCTCAGGATACGCTGTATTATGGGGAATTTAAGAACTTTGGGCCTCGGGCTTCGACCCGGTATAGAGTGAGATGGCCTGGTTTTCATGTTATAAGGAGCCCAAATGTGGCCTCTCAGTTCACCGTCCGGCGACTCATCGCCGGCCAGACCTGGTTGCCGGCCACCGGAGTTCCCTTCACCCTTGGCCTCTGATTTGCATTTATTGTATTTAATAATGACTTGACTTAGGGAAGAATTTGTTTAAAAAGATAATCATGGCGTTTTTATTTAGTAATAAGATATTTAATTTTCCAGTTTGGTTTATTTTGTTCCACACATTTGAAGCAATCAAACCTTGTTTTTGTTTTAAGCATTCAAGTTGTCAAAGTTGATTAAGCCAACACGGTTTTAGTGTCACCATGTGGCAATGTTACTGCGTAATTCGTTGATGGAAGAAAGTCAAAGTTGTTTAAAAAAGCAGAAAACTATTTTCAAAAACTTCTAAATCTATTTTAAGCAATGGCTTAACTTTTCGAATTCTGTCTCAAATTTATAGTTTTTCCTCTTACTCTAAATAAAGTACCATCAAATCTTTCTATCAGATCAGACGTTGGATCGAGTTTTACCATGCGTAGACAACCAAGACTCACCATTTTGTGTTCCACACGTGAATTTTATTTACATGATAG